GACCAAGGTTATGTCTTCTTGATCTATTGTGCTTTAATCAGTATCTTACATGCTCTTGATGGCTTTGCTTTATATGGCTCTCTTCTATCATAAAGAAATATCCAATTAATCGTATTTTGAAATTAAGATGAAATAATTTAAAATTAGTTTGAGTTCTTCTCCTACCATTTTACATTAATGAGCATTATGGACTGCTATTACTCATGGGAGGGAGGGGAATGGAAGAAAGAACTTACCTAAAAATCTGTGTAAGGTCACCATGTCTAACTTGAAGTGGTGAATGAGCCCATGTGCATTGAAGAGGTGGCACAGCAGTGTTACCAAGCTGTTTCCTGAAGGAAAACAATTATTTTCATTAATTCATTTTCATCATCATCATTAAAGTATCAAGATTGGAAGTAAGACTCAATGTTTCTATAATGAAGATCTTCAGATGCATTGGTTTCCCCCTTTGGATTTAAATTCCGCTGTAGAGGATATTACAATTATTATCCTTATCTGACTCTAGATCTTCTCCTTTTTTGTGTAAACAAAATTAACTCAGACATTCTCCCTCCACTGAAGAGTTACAATGACTTTGACTATGGAAGTGTTAGGGTTATACACCCACTCCTCATTTATCAACAGAGTTAGGTTCTAAAGACCAGGCCGTTAGGTGAAAATGGAAGAAGATAACCTTTCACAAAACAGAGGATGGCTACATCACTATATAACTGTCAAACTCCTGAGAATCATAGTCCAGCAAACTCAATGCAGAACCTTATCCAGTCGGCATTTCTCTTGCCTTACCTGTGGCATTTGTTACTGCCCTACACGTTACTAATATGCACAATTGGATACTAGGTTCCTTATTATTGTTAAAAATGTGAACTGTCAGATAATGAGATGGCCAGCAAATAAAGATCAAATGAATACTGTCAACTCAATGCCAACTGACAGCAACCCTACAGGATAGAGCAGAACTGTCTGCTAGGGTTTCTAAGGCTGTTGATCTTTATAGAAGCAGCTGCTGCACCTTTCTTCCATAGAATGACTGGTTTGAATCTCTGACCTTTTGACTAGCCACGGAGCACTTACTGTGATACCAGAGTTCCTAAGTGAGGGGCAGGTATGTGTGAGTGTGCATATATATCTGGATATGTACCCACACATGCATATGCCCAAGTGCCAACATATACATAGAGCAAAAGCATCTTGATATTGACTGGAAATGTTCCTTAAGTAATTTTTAATAATTTCTTACACTTATAAGGATGCCAAAGCCATCTTGTTGCTTAATATTTATAGCCTATTCTTCTTATAAAAAATAACTTACATAGAGACTTAACTATAAAATATTTTGTAGTCAAGCTTACAGATAGGTAAAACTGAAGCCACAATAACTTGAAACATTCAACAAATGCTGTCTATTTAAGCTAAATGATTTTGCACTGAAAAGCATTAGAGAGTTTATGAAGACTTGGAAATGAGCCAAAAAGATGACTGACTGTAATCAATGGAGAGCTAGGTGCTGATTAAGAATCTCTTCCAGGTAACCTGATTCTAAGGGTCCCTACAATGTTCGTTGTCTTTGAACTTCTTCACAAGTCTTAAAATTGTAGACAACTAGGGGAGCTCTGGTGGCCTAGTGGCAAGAAGCTGCACTGCAATCCTAGAGGCTCAAGGTTCAAATCCACCAGATGCTCTGCCGGGGAAGGAGGGGCAATTTCCTCTTGTACCAGTCAGATCTGATTTGACGG